GACTATGGTCCCAAGCCTGCAGGATCAACTACTCAGTCCCTCTGGGTAGCTGGCTGTGACCAAGCAATGACCATAACCTTGCCCCTTGTCAGCTCTACTATACACCTGGGATGCATGTTTTTTTAAGAAATGGAAAACAACAGGTCATTGTTTCCTCTTGCACCTTTACATGTCAACAAACTCATAAATTGCTATTAATCAGCCTTTACATGGCTACTTAGGCTTCCCCAGATGGTGCAAATGGTTTGTGCTTGACTACTAACAGAAGGGTTGGTGGTTTCAATCCACCCACAGACAGCTCAGAAAAAAGGCCTGGCAATTTACTTCCATAAGATTATAAAACAAAAAACAAACTTGCTGCCATGGAGTCAATTCTGATTCATACCGACCCCCATTGGGTTTCTGAGGCTGTAAATCTTTATGGAAGTAGATCGTCTCATCTTCCTTCTGTGGAGCAGCTGGTGGGTTTGAACTGCCAACCTTCTGGTTAGCAGCCAAATGCCTTATCCACTACACCACCAGAACTCCTTTCCATAAGATTATAGCCATTAACTATTCTATGGAGCACAGTTCTACTTTGACACACATGGGGTTGGGATGAATTGGAGTAGACTTGATGGCAATGGGTTTATATAGCTATTGAGTCCTGTTGGCCTTTTACTTATGTGGGCTTCTCCCCCTCCACCACCACCACCACCATCATGGAATAAGGGCTGTTGTTGATTATACAAATTATTTTAGAGATTTTTTTAATACTAGATTTTGCCTTTTCTAAGCCACATAAAAATAAATTTTGTGTAACTGTCAAATACACCACCTGGAATTCCAAATATGTAGGATAATGAAGAGAATGGAATTTAAAAGAGAATGGAATGTTTAGAATTGGGGCTAGGAGGGAGCATGAACATAATTTTATGGGCGCAAATAATTTTTTTTGTAGCAAAGTGAAATTCACTACTTTGATATGACCAACCAACAATGTTGCTACCGTTATGTGCCGTTGAGTCGATTCTGACTCATAGTGACCCTATAGAACAGAATAGAACTGTTACATGGAAGCAGATTGTCACATCATTCTCCCACAGAGCAGCTGGTGGGTTCAAACTGATGAGCTTTTGGTTACTAGCTGAGCTCTTAACCATTATGCCAGCAGGGCTCTTTAACCAGCAACACTCACTGAAATAATATGAATTAACCCACTTACAATTTAGTGATTTGTTTATTATTAATAAATGTGAATCACAATTCTTTTTAAAGACAATTTTTAAATTTATGGTCTGCTCCCAGAGTTCTTCTTATTATATATTAGAACCTCAGTCACTCCTTATTTTTCTTTACTTTGATTGCCTAACAGAGAGTTTCCCTCCAGGGACACAATCTGGCCCCATAAACATTACCTTCTATGGCTGAGGGTGGGGGAGGGGAGGGATCATGGATTTGGGTCACACAGATGGTGGGTCTGGGGCATGATAGCCAGTAACTGTGGGGATACTTTCCAACAGCCAATGAGGGGCAGCAGTTCCTTTCTTCTCTGTTTTCCCTTGGTGGATGCTGGGACTAAAATGAACCTCCATTCCTAGCACCCTGTAAGGTAAAAGTGGTGAGTCAGCTATATCCCTGGGTACATTTTGGAAGTAATGAAACTTAAAAATCATACTTACTTGAAAGTCAACCACTAAAATAAAGAAACAAATTTTCCCTTTTTCTTTTGCAGAAGTTGGGGAGAGAGCATTTTGGTTACTTCATGCTGCTCTAATAGGAAATACCACAAATTGGTGGTTTTAACAAACAGGAGTTTATTTTCTTACTATTTTGGAGGCTGGAAGTTGGAGTTCAAAGTGCCAGCTCTAGGGGCCCTTGACCTTGAGGTTCAGCTCTGCCTCTTACTCCCAGCCCACTGAAGCTGGAGGCTTTCTTCAGCTGCTGGCTGTCTAAGTGACAAACCCAAGGTCGACAAGTAAAAAGGTACAGTCTAGATATTACCAAACCACATGGCAGGCTATTGATTCAAGTCCATTAAGAGTCCCAAGATTGGCAGACAACATGGCAGGCTAGATGCAGGACTCAAGTGTGCCAAAAGCTGTAGACCTTGCTCAACGCTTCTCAATATACACTGGAATCAGACATCCCTAAGGCAGCTACTAAGCTGCTCCAGTAGATTCCACCATAGAGTTGATTCTCAATATCACCATGGGGAATACTACATCCAGCTGCCCAGCCACTCAAAACCAGGCCCAGCCAAGCTGACACACAATCTTAACTACCACAGGGAGGTATATAAAAATATGCAAATTCTAGTGCCTCTGATGGGGACTCCAGAGCTCCTGGCCTGTGTTGTGTTGCTCTTTACTCTCAGTGACATACATCACCATCAGTTAACATCTCTTTCAGGGATGCTCAATGTTTCCAAGTCCCTTCTCCTTCCAGCTCATTCTTAGAAAAAATGAAAACATTTGTGTATCCCAGCAGCCGGGGCAACACTACCCTCAGTACTCCCAACACAAGCACTGGGGTTTCCAGGAATGAGGAGAGGATGAAAGTGACCTGGGGTTGCAAGAGGAAAAAAGTAGGACAGATAGTATCTATTTACACCTAAGAATTTATGATGAGGAGCAATGTTCAAGGACAGATCGATCATTCCTGAGCACTAAAGGGCCCTAGAGTGGACTGCTAGCTAGGGAAAGAGAGTTCCCTCTCGTCAGGATCCTGCCATTCTCTGATGCAAGACATTTGCGTGGAGGGCTCTGGCGGGTCTTGCCCTCTTCAGTCCTGCACTGTGTGACCTGCAATAGTGCCCGGCACAGCAAACAAGATCAGAAGGCACACACCTCCTATTTGATCTTGTTGCTTGAAACACGGCATGATCTGAAAGTGACCAGTAGCTGAGGTCAGCGCCTGCACGGCTGGCGACATTCGCTCCTAACCCAAGGAAGCCTCTGGACCTTGAGTCAGCCTTTCTAGCTGACTGACTCACTTAAGAATGAGACTCCAGCTCCGAGGTTTTCTGGCAGGAGGCGCGCATCGTGTCGCCAGCCCTGTAGAGGGCGCTCTCCATCCACTGCGCCTCTGAGCTACAGCCAGAGACCCATCTCGCGGCTCCAGCGCTTAATCGTCCCACTCTGCCTCCGAGGCCCACAACCTAGAGCATCGTCACTTCAGGGCAAGGGGATCACGGAAAGTTCCACACTTGGCGAGGCTGTACCGACCCTCATTCAATTACTAATTTCCAAATCATGCTCCTTTGTAATGCAAATTTTGTTTTTTGCCTGTTTTCGGCCAAATAAACTAGCTCACAAATACATGAAGTGGTCACTTGCAGTGACGGCGGGAGGTGAAGGAGGCAGTGGGGTGAAGGCCGGGTGGAGGCTGAGGTTGGGCACCTCAAGCGCCCAGGGGCCTGCTAAACAGTAGGACACGAAACTCCGAGTCGGCCCGGAAGGGATACCTAGCAGTCCTCTCCGTGAGCTCTGGCGCAGGGCCCCACCCCGCTCCCTGCCCCCGGGCGTCCGCCTGCTCCTGCCTGGTGCACTCTCCTCAAGGTGCAGGCCACAGCTCCCGCCACACCGCAGCGCTCTGCCATGGGCGCCGCCGGTTCGTCGGCGCTGCCGCACCTCGGTCTCCCCGCGACGCGCCTGCCTGAGCAGCCTAGGCCCAGGTGGCTCGGGGTCGTAGTTCTGGGACTGGCCGCCATGGCGCTGGGGGCCGTGGCCTTTCGCCGGGCGAGACGTGGGTGGCGCAAGCGGCTGCAGCGTGTGGGCACTGTGGCGCAGCTCTGGATCTACCCGGTCAAATCTTGCAAGGGGGTGTCGGTGAGCGCGGCCGAGTGCACAGCCATGGGGCTGCGCAGAGGCCACCTGCGGGACAGGTACGATGGCCCCGGCCAGTGGGCAGAACGGTTTGGGTCTGGGACAAGGACGCGCCCGTGGGAGGTCTGCAGAGCCCGAGATCAGGTTCTTGTGTCTTCTTACAAGAACTTGGGAGCCAGCTGCGTAGGGAAAGAGAGGAAAAAGGGTCGTAGCTCTCAGAGGGCAGACCTCGGGGGCCCCAGCACACTGAGCAGCGCTCTGTGACTCGATCAGCTTTCCAGAGGTGGGTGTATTTCCCAGGGGCCCTGTCATACCTTGCGCTTCTGAGAAGATGTGTATCAGGCTACAGGTGTTTGCCAGTGCGCTGCAATCTTGTTAAGCTCTGTCTAAAGTAGGGAGCAAACTCTCAAGGGATTGCTCCCCATTACTTTATTTTTAATGACCGTTGAGAACTTGAGGAAACTGGAGCAGCAGAATCCACACCTCAAAGAGAGGCCGCCAAGGCCCAGCACACAATAATAATAGCAGTTTTGTACCTTTTTACAGCTTATTAAGGGTGATTGTACTGATTTTCTGGTTATGGTGATAGAAATTTGCCAAGGGAAACGGGTTGAACAACACGATTAATGTAATTGATATCACTAAAGTGTACATGTGATAAGCTCTGAATTAGTAAATATTGTGTTATATATATATTTTTTTTTTTTTTGACAACGATGTAAAAGTGTGATTGTCTCTATTATTTTCCCTAATTTGCTCAATTGTTCATTTATGGGTGACGAACTGAGGTTCAGAGTCGCTCAGCAGTGGAACTGGGACTCTTGTTTTCTTTAGCACGCTTGTGCACAGGAAATACTGATTTTTATTAATGCTCTCAGATGTCAGTGTCTAAAGCATTTGACTGCTAACCAGAAGCGTATGGAGGTTCAAACTCAACATCCACTCCTTGGAAGGAAGATTGGGCAATCTACTTCCATAGTGATGATACTGCCTCAGAAACCCAAGGAGGGGTTGCTCTGGGTCAGTTACAACTCTATAGCAGTGAGTTTGGTGGTTTTTGGTATGGGTAATCACAGTTGTGTGGATTCCTGTGATTCAGAGAAATTTGCAAAACCCCAGAGTGAGTAGCCTTATCCTTTTCTGGGTTTGACTTCAGACCTCATTGTAAGACTGCGTTCCAAACCCCTTCCTCCCAGACCAGCCCTCACAGGTTCAGCAAAAAAAAAAAAAAATGCACAGGACTGGTGGGGGCTGTGACTTTTCCCAGAGAGAAGGCAATTCATGAATTAGTGGAAAGGTGAGCTATACCCCTTTCCCTCAGGAAGGAAGCCAAGAAAGCTAGATCATTCACACTTTGTCGAATGGACTCTAAAGCATGGTGGAATTTGTTGAATTTGTTGTGCTGGCTCTGGAGGCAAAGGGCATTGTAATTTCATTATATCAACTCACCATGTATTGAACTCGTATCATAACTAGTAATAATATGAGATGGCATTTATATCAGACACAAGTTCCTGGGTGGCAAAAATGGTTAAGCACTCTACTGCAAACCAAAAGGTTGGAGGTTCAAACTCACCCAGAGGTACCTCAGAAGTAAGGTCTGGCAATCTGCTTTTGAACAGTTACAGCCTTGAAAACCCTGTGGTGCAGTTCCACTCTGCACACATGGGGTTGCCATGAAGGACTCAAAGGCAACTAACGACAACAACAATGCTAAATTACTTGTTTTTATCATCACATTGTCAGAAAGTGCATAAGAGAAGCAAAAAAGGCTTACAATCCAATGTGCCAACTGACTTGGGAGGGACGTGTGCCACAGAGCACTGAGGAGCAAGGCCTGTAAGCTGCCCCAGGTGATCAGGAAGGACTTCATAGAGTAGGTAACAGCTTGAACAGAGATTCGAAAAATGTTTGTGAACTTTCTAGGCAAATCGGTTCTAGACAGGGAGTAAGGTGGACAAGGAGACTGGGCTTGAGAGAACAAGGTATGCTGGGCTGTAACAAAGGCTGGCACATGTGACCTGTGGGGAGGTGAGAGGGGCTGGGGAAGCAGGCTTGCTCTTAAGCCTTGCTTAAGAGTTAAGGTTTTACCCCAAAGCAGAAGGAGCCATGGAGGGTTTTTGAATGAGGAAGTCACATGATCAGAATTGCATTTAGAAGGATCAAAAAAAAAAAAACCCAAAAACTCACTGCCGTCGAGTCGATCCGACTCATAGCAACCTCTTCTTGGGTTTCCTAGGTGATATCTCTACAGAGGTAGATTGCCCAGTCTTCCTTCTGAGGAGTGGCTGGTGGGTTTGAACCACCAGCCTTCTGGTTAGCAGTCAAGTGCCTTAGGCACTATGCCACCAGATCAGTCTGCCATTATTACTACAAAGATAATGTTCTTGTCCTGGTATGAAGAATTTGGGGCAGGGCAGGGCTCTGTCTATGTGTCCAGGATGAAAGGCTGATAAAAGGGAAGTCAGAGAAAGGGCTTACCTTAAGCAAAACCGAGAAAACAAACAAACAAACCCACTGCCTAAGAGTCCCTTCTAACTCGTAGTGATGTTATAGGACAAAGTAGAACTGCCCAGAGGGTATCCATGGCTGTAAATCTTTATGGAAGCAGAGTGCCTCATCTTTCTCCCACAGAACAGCTGGTGGGGTAGGTTCGGACCTTTTGAATCCTTTCACCACTCTATCACCAGAGTGCCACACTAAGCAAAGAGATAACTTATTTTCTCGGATAGCTGAGTAACTCAGTTGGGGGACTTCTGGGGGGTGATGCTAGACCTATTCTTTAAAGCCTTAAAGTAACTGCTGCACTTTTTCCTTTTTATCTGTGTATCCCTAAAGCACAAACTCACTTGTATAATTGCAATCATTTGATCCTGCGTAGATTGAGATTACCAAAAAGCCTCCATATGTTTAGCTTCCTAGTAGCTGAAATGTAAGCTACACAATTGTGTTCTATTCCCGAAATGCTATTTTTCTGGAAACTCTTCTTTCTAGTACTCTCATTTCTCCATTTATCTCTCTTTCTGGGAAGTACCTGAAGAGCAAGAGTTCTGAGCCAGAAAAAATATTGTCCAGATTAACAATAGACCTTGTAGCAAATGTGCCGAACCCACAGCCCAGAATAAATTACTATTGATTTCTTATATTAATATTAATAATATTTTGTTCATATTAATTTAATGTTTAATCTAAGTTACCAAAATCACTGCCAAAGCAGTATCACTATGGAAGTAGATTGCCCAACCTAAGTTAGTTAAACATTATTTTAAAATTATTAGGTGTCCTCAAGTCAGTTTTGATTAGCAGCCCTATGTACAGCAGAACAACACACTGTGCCTTGTACCTTTTTCACAATTGTTGCTATGTTTGAGCCTATTGTTGCAGCCACTGTGTCTGTCCATCTCGTTTGAGTGTTTTCTCCTTTTTTGCTGACCCTGTCCTTTACCAAGCATGATATCCTTCTCCAAGAACTGGTCCCTCTGACAACATGTCCAAAGTATGAGAGACAAAGTGTGGCCATTCTTGCTTCTAAGGAGCATTCAGGTTGCATTTCTGCCAAGACAGACTGGATCGTTCTTCTGGCAGTCCATGGTACATCCAGTATTCTTCACCAACACTGCAATTCAAATGCATCAGTTCTTCTGTGGGCTTCCTTATTCCTTGCCGAGTCCTCAAATGCATAAAAGGCTATTGAAAATACCTATGGCTTGGGTCAGGCATACCTTTAAAGAGGAAGGGTGAATTTGGCAAGGTTTAAATGTCCTTTGCTTTTCAGCTGAACTTAATGCTCTGTGAATAATGCAAGAAAAATGCCTTGCTGTTTCAGTTGACCTGAGCCTACTGTGTGCCAGGCATCTTGCTTCTTTGTACCCTTACATCTTTTTGAGAAGTAGATCATTGTCATTTCCTTGGGGCATTTTTAATGAGAGTGATCAAGTTTCCCAGCAATTGTAATGAAAATATAATTAATGTCTTTGATTTCTGTGCATCATGGAGCTCAAAATGTTCTGCAGATATTAAATGTCAGATGCTTGAGTGATTATTTACCCTTTTTGAAGTTAACTGCTACACTCAGGCTTGCGGTGCTGCCAAGTTGATGTTCATGAAAAACTCAGACAGACAAACAAACACACACACCAGGCTTAGAAAGAGGAAACCAAAAATGACAGACAGTGTGTCACTGAAACTCCCACCAAGATTGGCTGCCTGTCATGTTGGTGCACACAAATACTGCGTTTTGAAATTGCAGGTTTTGGCTTGTGATCAACAAGGAAGGGAACATGGTTACAGCTCGGCAGGAACCTCGCCTGGTCCTGATTTCCTTGACCTGTGATGGAGACTCCCTGACCCTCAGTGCAGCCTACACAAAGGACCTACAGCTGCCCATCAAAGCACCCACCACAAATGCAGTGCACAAGTGCAGGTAAGGAAAGAGGAAAGGGCAGGCTTGAGCCTGGATGACTTCCATGGATATTTATTTCAAAAGCATGAAATATAGAGAGAATCCTGGGAAACCTTATCAATTGTGTGTGTGTGTGTGAAAATGTTATATGCAGGGCCAACTCCTCAGCATCATGAAGAAGATCTAAAAGATAGACCATGGCAAAGTAGCTTCAGAAGCTTATGTTTTTTTGACCATGAAGGATGTAAAAGTCTTAATTAGAAAACCATGAGAACAAAAGCATATTGACGTGTCAGCAAGAGAAAAATAATCTGGGGGTAAAGAATTTAACTTTACCCAAAGTAATTTGGTCTTTGCCCTTGGTTCTTGAGAGATAAACCCTAACCGCTTGGAATTTCCTGAGTAATTGCGGTGCTTTTTGTTATCTAGGCCTCCAGACCACACTTAAGAGTTTGTGCTAAGGAATCTAGCCAGATAGACCACTGTGTGGTCTGATATCAGCTGACCTCAGGGAGAGGGGCATGAATCAACCAACCATACCTATGCAGTGAGACCCCAATCATAACTTTGTGTTGAAGCCAATAAAGGCTCCATGGGCTCACTGGTTGGTGAAAGACATCCATGCAAGTGGGCAGTGCACCCCTTTCTAGAACATGGAAGCTCCATATTGGGAACTCTCCCAGACCTTGTCTCATGTGTCTCTTCATGTGTATCCTTTTTGTGTAATAAAACTGTAAGTATAGTGCTTTCCATGAGTTCTGTGAGTCATTCTGGTGAATTATTAGACCTGAGAGAGCAATGAGAGTCAGCAGGTTGGAAGAAAGAGGGCCTGGGGGTCCCCTGAGCTTGCGATTGGTGTCCAGAAGGGGTAGTGGGAAAACCACAAATTTGTAGCCAGAATGGTGACTGATGGGGCCTTAGGACTTCTGAGATCCTGGCTGGTGTATTGGGCAGACTTGGTAGTGTGTGCCCTTTAACTTGAGAACCCTGAACTGGCTCTGGAGGAAGAAGTGCTTCCTTGCAGCTGATGTCAGAATTGAACAGAAGTGGAAACTGTGAATTCAATGTGTTTATTTGAGATTTTTTCCCACTCATAATTTCACCAAAGGATAAAGGACAAAACCAGGGTGGGAATGATTGCAGGAAATGTCCTGAAAGAGGTAAGATTAGATCTGTGGGTTACCACAGGATTTTCCCAATTATGTCTGGAAGGACTGCATACCTTCCCAACTTGAGTTAGAAATGCCCATGTGACCTGTAATATTTAATTCTGAGGAAAGACAATTCAGGAATAGAAAACAACAGCTGTAGCCAGGAAGAGTGAGCCTGCAGATGCCCGCCTGTCCATCCAACTGTATCATAGATAGAGTCAAGAGTCAGCCACTAAGACACTGTACAGAGGCATCTTCCTCAACATCTGAAGGTGTGTGGGGCAGAAATTATTCTAGAAAAAAATGCTTGCTTCTAAGAAATCTTGTCTAGGTTTGAGTTTTCATTCCACTGTGGGAAAATTAAAGTTTGGTCAAATTATATTCTTGTTACAGTTTCTGCATTTTGAATGAAGATGCAATGTGAATGTTATATGTAGTCCATAGCTTATCATAAGAGATAAATTATGTAAAAAATTTAACCCCCACCAAAGTTCATAAAATGAATTATCAGTGTAATTTAGAAAATACCTTAGAGTTTTAAGCATTGTATATTTTAATTTTAATTTATAAAAGTAATACACATTCATTATTGAGAAAATGGAAAATACTGAGGAAAAAAAATCATCTTAGATAACTGCAATTCATATTTTGGCATGTATTTTTCCAGTCTATATGGCTAATAGGAGCTCTGGTAGCATAGTGGCTAAGACACTTGCCTGCTAACCAGACGGCTGGCAGTTCAAACCCACCAGCCACCCCTCGGAAGGAAGGTTACTTCCGTATTGATACTGCCTTGGAAACCCAAGGAGCGGTCGCTATGGGTCGGGTTTGACTCGACGGCACATAACAACACAACACAACAACATATGGCTAATACTTTTAAACCAAATTGAAATAATGCCAAAAAAGAAGAAGAAAAAAAAAAAAAACCTTGAATACTGTATACATACTTAAGTCCATATGTTGAACATTTTTTCATATTGTCAGAAAATCCTCAAAAATACCATTTTTAAGGTTGATGTAATATTTTGTTTTGTGAATATTCTCTACTGTCCCCTACTATTAGTATTTTGGCTTGTTTTCAATTTTTCCAGGAATGAAGAATAATGTGATGAATATCTGGGCATAAATCTTTGTTCGTATGTCTTATTTTTGTTTCCTTAGGGGCAAAAGTTCCATCTGCGATTTTGCTAAAAATAAGGGTATGAATTCTATAGACTTTGATTTATGATGCTGAATTGTTTTATAGAATGGTTATACCAGTTTATGAACCTATCTATCTAGTTGTTGTCTAATTATGATGTTTAAAATCATTTTGTCATTTTTATGGGCAAAAATGATATCTTGGTTTAATTTTCATTTTTGCTCGAATGGGGTAAACCTTTTCATATGCTTATTGCCAATTTGTATTTCATGTTTGTTTGTCCATACCCTGCTTCATGTTTGTTTGCCATGGTTTGATATTTACCTATATTTTCTTGTAATTTTTTTGTTTTCATTTAATTTTTAATTCATTTGGAAAAATGTGGAAACTTTTCTTATTTTTCATGGTCCTATACAGACTTTTTCGTCTGTGTCTCAAAGACTAAACAAGGTTGTATTTGGAAATTGCAGAAGAAGAAGGCTTACACATGCTGCAGAAGTATGCGGAGTAGATTCTTATGGCAATGATCACAAGGCCCATTGGGGACTAAGTTTCCATTAGGTGCTCAGACCATTGTTTGTGAAGCACTTGTAACCTCAGTCCACAGTTTCCTAAAAGTTACTGACGAGTCGCCAGGACCCTCATCTTCAAAATGTTGTGATCACAGCCAGTACAGCTGTTTTCATGGTTGAGGTTGTTGCTTGATTTTCTTACAGACCACACCAGCCACTAACTGATAGAGAGTGTTAAGACCTTTAGATGAATTATTCAGGTAAACAGCCTCAGACCATGCCTATGTTATTTTTGTGAAACATTTTAGGAGCATTTGGGATTTGTTTTGTTTTGTTTTCTTGGACTTTTTGATACAGTGTGTCAGTGGAAGGCTGGGCCCAACGACACAGTGAAGGCTGCTCAGAACTCAGAACAAGTGTAGGGAGGAGTAAGAAGAACACACACAGGGGACAAAATCTGTCCATTCAAAGGTCTCAGATTCTGGAGTTTGTGAACCCAGGACCCACACGTGGAGGGTGCAAAGGAAATAAGTGTCAGGCTAAGAGGGAAGATGTTTATGATTGTTTAATAACCCAAAAGAGAGGCAAACTCAGTAAGGATAATAACTGCCAACTAAAGGCCTAAGGAGCTCTGGTAGTGTAGTGGTCAAGGCATTTGAGTGCTAACCAGAAGGTCAGCGGTTCAAGCCCACTAGCGCTCCATGGAAGGAAGATGGGGTGATCTATTTCCATGAAGCTTTACAGCCTTGGAAACCCAATGGAGGGTCACTATGAGTCAGAATCAACTCAATGGCAGTGAGTTTGGTTTGTTTTTTTAAAAGCCCTAAGGACTGTAGGTGGCTTTCTTCCCACCGTCCTAGAAAATTGGCTAGGAAAAGCACTGGACTAGGGCTGTAAGGGTTTGGCTGGGGAGATGAGATGATTCGCTAGTCCAGGTCCCAATGGAGAAAGACACTAAAAGGGGGAAGACCTTCATAGCTGTCTCCAAATGATACACTTTAAATAAAATGTTATCAAATTCTAGCTAGAAACTATTGCCTATAAAGATCTCAGTGCCTATTCTTTTTTTGTTAGAAAGATAACAAAGTAATCATTGTTAAGGGTTATTATCTAGTCTTGATAGACATTAAGGAGCTATTAGTACTAAATTGAGTTTTCTCCCTGGTTCAGAGAACCACTTTCCCCGTCTGTAATCCACTGTCAATGCTGTGCCCAGGCGCCATCTATAGTCATCTCAGTGCCTGCAGTGATACTGGTCCTGCACTGTGGAAAACAATGGCCTATACGAGAACATTTCTTTTCCCTCTGCACAGCAGTAAATTACATATAACTCTCAAATTATCCAGCGTACAACTTATGACTTGGGCAGGGGAAACTTCAAATCCTACAGAAGTATGTAAATAATAGTAGTAATAATAATAATAACAAAAACCTAAACCAGTTGCTGTTGAGTTGATTATGAATCATGGTGTATGTGTGTCAGAGTAGAACTGTGCTCCATACAGTTTTCATGGTTGAGTTTTCAGAAGTAGATTGCAGGCCTTTCTTCCAAGAAGTTTCTGAGTAGACTCGAACTACCAACCTTTTGGTTAAACAGCTGAGCAAACTAACCATATGAGTTAATTGGAGACTCCACAGGGTTATTACTAGGAATCAAACCAATACTTAGATTAGTATTGTTATCTGTAATATTTTAGATTTGGAGAACATTTTCACATACATTAACTGTATCAAGTTTTATTATCCTTAAGCTATCAAAGTATAGTCAGTCCTGTTAATAGAAATTTCTGGTTTCTGTCTGAGTGAACCAGATTTGCAGTAATTATATGTTTATCTTGTTTTCCTCCAGAAGAAAATAAGGTGAATTTATAAATACTGCAAAATCTGGTCCTCCCTATAGTCCTTTGAGAAGCTCTGGTGGCACAGTGATTAAGGCATTTGCTAACCAAAAGGTTGGCAGTTCGAACTGACCAGCCACTCCAATGAAGAAGAGGCAGTTAGCTGGCATAAAGATCTACAGCCTTGGAAACCCTGTAGGGTAGTTTGACTGTCCTGTAGAGTTACTATGAATCAGAATTAACTTGATGGCAATGCATTTGGGTTGGTGGGTTACAGTCTTTTGAAGGAGCATTTGTAGTGCACTAGTTAAAACACTTGGCTGCTAGTGGAAAGGTTGGTAGATTTGAACTATATCTCTACAGGAGAAAGGTGGGACAATCTGCTTCTAAAGATTATAGCATTGGAAAACCCATGGGCCAGTCCTACTCTATCCCATAGGGTCACTATGAGTTGGAATGACCCCTTGGCAGTGGGTCTGTGTGTGGGTTTATAGTCCTTTGGAGGAGCCCTGGTGGCACACTGGTGAAGTGTTCAACTGCTAACTGAAAGCTTGGTAAATTGAACCCACCAGCCACTCTGCAGGAGATAGATCGGGCAGTCTGCTTCTGTAAAGATTGCAGCTTTGGACCCAATGGGGCCATTCTACTCTGTTCTATAGAGTTGCTCTGAGTCAAAATCTATTCAACATCAACAAGTTTAGTTTAGTTTTTTTTTTTTTTT